TCACAGAAGAAATTCATCTTGAATATATGCTAAAGAAAATACAAAGGGCAAAGTCCATGGGGATTCATTGAGCAGCATAGCCATCTTGCACATTTGGTTATCCTCTTAAAATAATGAAAGTACCAGTCATTTAATTAATCAGACATTACAATGACATACTGAATTAAAAAATGTTTTCATCATGTGATTTCAAGTAATAATTGCTTAGTAAGGAAGTCATGACATTAATAGATTTAAAAACGAACAGCTGGCAAATTTAAAAACATAATTTGAAATTTGCAAAAGTTAAGCCCAACAATAGATAAAAAAATTGGGTTATAGATCCACCGAAAGGTGGGTAGCCTTAACCGATGTGTAGAGGAAAGCCCGAAGGCTGTTCCCGTCCCTGTCAGGGGAGATGCCAACCATCTCTCCTTTTAACGAACACAGCCCATCTCAGCTAAACATTGTATATAAAGCATCATATGTTCATATAACTATTCAATGTGGGACTTGGCAATTGAGAGGATGACACTTTTTCTCTTGAAAATTAACGTAAGTTTTAGGGACTGTAATAAAAATGCATTGTTGGGCACATGCATAAATTTCATGGCATTAATTCTCTTGTTACAGTGTAACGGACCAATTGATGGCTTGCTCAGTAGTTAAGATACTCGTATGGTAATAGGCACCACAACCAATATCCCGTTTGGACAAAGAGAAAATGCTTCTTTCATTACCAATAAACCAAACCCAAACCCAAAATTATAAGGGAAAATGTGTTTTTAATTTTTTTAATTTAAAATATATGAATCAAAATTTTAATTACAAAAAAATTGAATTAATCTTTTGTTTAAAAATATGATTGCCAAATTTTCACTGCTATAATACTAAAGAAAAGACTAAACTTACATGTTTTTAGTTTTAAATTTAAAGAACAATTGTTAATATACGAAATATACTATTGTTAATATACGAAATTAACAATTTTTAATATATGAATAAATATATTTATTACTAACATTAGAGTTACATTATTCAAGTTGGTTGGAGGCATTTGAGCACTTGGACATGGAATTCTGTGGAAAGTTAGTAATTTCTTTATACACCCTCATAGATTTTATGTGCAGTTAAAAGACCATACTACCCAAACCAAATTGGGACAATAAAAGAAATTTCTTAAAAAATCAAACAAACTTGATAAAGATGATAACAATACGATCTCTACTTACTACTCGATCCGTAACAAAAGAAATTCCATCACTTATCTATCCATTACTTACATAAATATTTGTTTAAAAAGTATTTTCAAATATTTAAAAACTCAGAATATTTACAGATACTCATAAATATTTTAAAAGATATATTTTATAAATTTTTAAAATAATATATAAAATATAATATAAATTATATTATATTTAAATTCAAATTCAAATATAATTAAATTTAATATAATAAAATATAAAATAATTTTAATTTTAATTAAATTTAACTTAATAAAATATAAATTAAATTTTTTTACAGGTAATATATATATATATATATATATATATA